GACAGAGTCAGAGCCTGGGCTGTCCATCAGTCCCCAAGAGCCTTGATAGTACAGTGGTCTAAGCACCCTGTTATTAACACAGCTGCCTGCAATTACTGCTGGTTCGAATCTCTCCAAGGCTCAAGGTTGACTCAGCCTTCCATCCTTTCTAAGGTAGGTGAAATGAGGACCCAGTTTGTGGGGGCAATAAGCTGACTTTGTATAAATATACAAAAGTATGAAGGCTATTGCTTAACGCATTGTAAGCCGCCCTGAGTCTCCGGAGAAGGGTGGCATATAAATCAAATTAAAAAAAAAAAAGATGGATAAGCAACATCCCCCAGATCCGGAGGTGGCTGATGAGGAAGAGGGGGAAAAGCTGGGTCTGGTGTCTGACGTGTGGATGCGCAGAAGGCAGAGAAGAGGAGAGCAGCAGGAAGCTATGGGATGGTCTTCAGGATGGAAGAGCCACTGCTGCTAGCTAAGTCCCACCCTAGCTCTGGGGATAAAAGGCAGGGGGCAGAGACAAATAGGCATGGCAGACAACTATTTGTCTCCTTGTTGGTCAGCCACTGATATTATGAACTTCTGAATCCTGTCTGGAACTTTATCAGAATTCTTTCTTAGAATCTGTGGCGCTGAGTGTCGGGCATACCTTCTAAGCATGTGTGTGTGTGTGTCTGCTGCTGGATAAGAGCGAGTGCACCTTCCAGGACTTCTTTTACCAGTGTGGGTAGAGAGAGAAAGACTCCTGGTGTGTTGGGGCCATTTCAGGGGAAAGGGAATGGGCTTTGCTTTCCACAGGCACTTAGAGACTTCATTAGCCTGCTGTGTGTAAGAGAGAGAGAAACTCTTGGCTGGGGCTGCTGACGCTCCTAATAAAGGGAACATTTAGTTAAAAACAGTGTGCTTGTCGTGTTTGGGAGCCGGGTCAGAACAGAAGGATTCTATACAACAGAGGCTCCTAAACTTTCTGCCTCCATTGAACCACCACCAGCAGCAGCAGTGGCTACAAGGGGTGAGAAGATGGTTTTGTGAACACAACCTAACTCCTGTGTGTGTGCAAATAAAAAAGACAACACTGCATACTGCATCCAGTTCTGGTCACCATTATATAAGAAAGATGTTGAGTCTCTGGAAAGAGTGCAGAGAAGAGCAACAAGAATGATTAGGGAAGTGGAGGCTAAAACTTACAAAGAATGGTTATAGGAATTGGGTATGTCCAGTCTAATGAAAAAGAAGGACTAGGGCAGATGTGATAGCAGTGTTCCAATATTTGAGGGGCTCCTACAAAGACAAAGGTGTTCAAACTATTTTCCAAAGCACTAAAACTTTATTATTCTATGTACTAAATGAAGCTTCACACGCTTGCTCGCCACTTGTGCGGCCCAATGGGCTGCAGACAGGGGGTTGCTATACAAGTTCAACATTTTTTAAAAAGCGAAGTTTAATAAAGGAACATAGCAGTAGTGGGTTTCAAATCCCAGTGCTACCAGTTCGCTATTGGGAGCATGCAGGTGCGCACACTCACTTTGTGAGTGTGCGGCACCTCTATGCATGCACAGAGCATTTTTGATGATGTCTGGGTGGGTGGGCAGAGCCTCCCACTGCTACTGCTACCGGTTTGCCCAAACCGTTGCGAACTGGTAGCAACCCACCCAGGAGTGCGTTCTACTTACCTTTATTACTGGTTCGCAGCGGGGCCACGCACGCCGCTCTCTTCACTCACGCACAAAAGCATTTTGATGACATCAAGGTCGGTGGGCGGAGCTTCCTGCCAGTTTTACTACCGGTTCTATAGAACCGGTGCAAACCAGGGGCAACCCACCACTTAACCCACCATTGGAAGATAGCTCTCTGACTCTGTTAGACAAGGAGGTAGTGAGTTCTAGAAGCAAATGTACCTCTTTTGTTCATTCAAAATGTTTTTCCCCCTTCATTTATAACAGATATATTTTCAAAAAGGATAATATCTATAGATGGAAAGATAATTAGGTTATACCATTAATGCACAATATAACATTTATAAAATATGTAAAGCAGAATTCATATTAAAGAAAAAATATATGAATTTTTAGCCTAACAGCAAAATCTCCACTACATTATTATTTATCATTGTTAGAAGAAAAAGAAATTAAAAATATAAATAAATATTTAATTTTTGAATTTCCCCTTCTTTGTTCTCCAATTGATTCACAGTGTATATTGCTGTAAGCTTTAAAACCCATATTCTAAGTATTGACTTTTTTTTTTTTTTGATTTATATGCCGCCCTTCTCCGGAGACTCAGGGCGGCTTACAATGCGTTAAGCAACATTTAATAGAGTTGTTTTTATTTTTCTTTCTTTACCTTTTAAAAAGAAGTATTATACATGGATGTATATGCAATCTTAAAAAGATAAACATTTTAAAGGTGTTTATTTAATATTTTTACTGAGATACCTGTATAACTGAAAAATTTGAATAAAGGGATTCTTTCAAGATTTTTTTCTGCTGTATCTGTTTTATAAGATATACTATCCCCAATGCTTTTAAATACTATTGATCCAAGCAGAGAGGTACTTCAGTTTTCTAATACAGAGCAATAGTAATTCTAGAAGGCATGAACTAATTTGTATTCTTGCAATAGTTTACAAGTCTTCGGAAATGTGGTCAGTAAACATAGTTATACTTGTATAATAGCAATAGCACTTAGATTTATATATACTGCTTCATAGTGCTTTTACAGCCCTCTCTAAGCGGTTTTACAGAGTCAGCGTATTGCCCCTAACAATCTGGGTCCTCATTTTACCAACCTCGGAAGGATGGAAGACTGAGTCAACCTTGAGCCGGTGAGATTTGAACTGCCGAACTGCAGCTAGCAGTCAACTGAAGTAGCCTGCAGTACTGCACTCTAACCACTGTGCCACCTCAGCTCTTAAAGACATATTAAACATTTTTATAGGCATCCCAGAATCTTTCAGCAAAAATAGGCATTGATTATAAGCCCTTGAGAAAAGTCTAGATATTTCAGATAACATGTTACAGATGGAGCATGGTGTAATGTCACTGATACATTATTTTTGTGGTTAATTCTGAGAGTATTTATATTGCTGGAAGATTTTGCCTTCTAATTCTTCTAACAATGCTTGGCCTTATGCTTCTCATGAAAGAGGTGTCCATACTTAATTCCGAAGATTGTCCAACTAGTGGATTGGTGTGTTATTGGTCCATCTATCCTGCCTTAAGATAAACTTGAAAGGTGGGAATGAAAAACGTGTTGTGAACCTTTCAACATTTAATATGTTGTACTGATTTCACCAGTTGTGGAGGGATACCAGGCTAAACTTGAAGAATGCAAGAATTGTTAGGTAAACATCCACTTAGTCCTGGGAAGAAATAGCGGACAAGAATGAAACTTTATTTTCTTTAGTGGAAGAGGGATTGGGGGAAAACACTTTCAGATTTTCATGATTCTGTTGTTGCATCAAACAACAATAAATTAGTGTGCTATGTGTTTCTTGACCTGGTCTACCTCAAAAAGCTGGCTTTGGGATTCACACAAAAGGAATAAATCTTTCAATATATTTTAAAGTGTGCATTTGTTTTTCCATATTTTCAGTCAATTAATAGGGATATACCCCCAAATCTTACATGAAACAGTAATTCAGTTTAATTTGTTGTATATATTCATCTTGAACCTTTAGACTGAATTAATTCTATTCAAAGTTGGAGTCACTTGCTTTGATTCAATGCAATAAACTTATCTGGAAATTGAATAAAAAAATTCAGTTTGAAGATGCAGTTCAGTAAAGCTATCTATAGATTAAAGGATCTCACAGACCTTCTAATTAGTGTATCTCAGAATTTATTATGAAGATTTGATGTAAGGAGAATGATTTTTACTGTCAGGTTTCTCTATTAGCTCAATTTTCCTTACTGGTTGTACTGACTAGAGATTAGGAGAATTAAAACCCACCATATATATATATATACTCAGTGAGGGAAGACTATTTTATTGTTACATTATCCAAGTTCTATTTCTTGTTTTGTCGTCAGTACCAATAGTTTACTACATGAATGAAGATAGGATAGTGATTCCTAGAGTTCAAAATTACAACAGCCATTATAACAAACAATCTACAGTAGAGGCAATTGAACATTGAACTATTACCTGAAAATGGAATTCTATGCTTGCTTTTGTACATTTTTTCTTATGTTAATATTGTACAGGTCAGTAAGTATATATGGGGTGCATTTGGATTTTTAAAAAAACTCTAGACATAAAGCAGTCCCAGTGTCTTTTAAAAGTAACTGAAAATTGTAACATATTCTTGGCTTAGAAAAATTGATGCAAAATCTGAAGTCATCTCATTTTTGCCAAAAACTAGATTCAGAGTGGCTTAAAGAAAAGCAAGAAAAAGCTTAAACAGCACATCCATCACCATGAGATTGTTGTTAATGTAAACAAAGCAAATATGGGATAATGCATCATCTGTCATTTTTATAGAGCTCAAGATTGCTTTTATATCTTGGGCCATAGGGGTTTATTCTGCAGAAGTGCTAAAATGGAACATCCGATGGAGCAGGTTGCTGCCTAGGTAAGCTCTCATCACACTAAATGAAGACAAACTAAGATTCAGTAAAGAGTGTAGGAAATTTAAAGTAGATTCGGCAGAACTTTTTGTTAGCAGAGTATTCAGAGTGCTTCCCATACCCAATTTACACAATTTTGGGTAGATTGTGTTTTCTCTTATAGAATCCCATCAAATTCTTGTGGAATCTCAGAATTCCATGGAACAGATTAAAAAGCCTGCTCTGCATCAGTGTTTCTCCATCTCAGCTGCTTAATTGTGAACTTCAACTCCCAGAATGCCCCATGCTGGCTGAGGATTTCTGGGAGTTGTAGTCCAGACATTTTAAATTTACTGAGGTTGAGAAGCACTGCTCTAGTCTAGATTATCAGATTGGCCAGTGTTTACATATGCTCTACTTAGTACTAACACTGCTACTTTATTTGTCTCCTTTTTTCCCCCATACCAGTTATGGAGATATGGTGCCCAAGACAATTGCTGGCAAGATATTTGGCTCCATTTGTTCGCTGAGTGGTGTCCTTGTCATTGCTCTTCCTGTCCCAGTTATTGTTTCCAATTTCAGTCGAATTTACCATCAGAATCAAAGAGCTGATAAGCGACGAGCACAAAAGGTAAGATATACTGAAAGCTACAATAAACATATTTTAGTTTTAGTCTACTGACACTAGCTTGCATTGGTTTTTCTATGAATATTATGCATTCATTATGATATAAATGAGGCATCCAGATAAATTATCATACTTTAGTCTGTGTTTTAGCAACTCAGGTTTTATCTTCCTTACACGTGGGTTATTTTTTTAACAAGGTTAATTTGTTCAGGCAGAAAGATCCTAAACAGAAGCATAAAACTCTGAAAACACCTCAGTTGCTGTGGCAGTCATAAAGGTGAACTCAGATGTTTTATATCTATTATCATCATTATAATTATCATAATTACTTAACATCAAATTCTGAAATGTCACAATTTTTAGATAATGAATGTGAAAGCACGTTGTACTAGTGACAGGAAGAGTTCCCTAAAGCTCTAGTTGCCTTTACATTTTCTCACAATAGGAAAATCAAATAAAATTTAGTCATTATAAGTTGGTGTGTGAGAGTTTTGTGCAAAAAACAGGAGGAAGTACCATCATTTTCTGGAATCTGGCTCTGTCTTCTGTTCACACACATGTCCTACTGTGCTTCCTCAGAACTGAGTCAAATCATCTGTCACTACTCCTGGCCCTTATTTCATTATTCAAATCTTTCTTCTGAGTATATCCATCATCTGAGGTAAGGTGAATAGCCACTCTGAAAAAGTATTTATCTGTATGCCATATGCAAATGTGCATCTTCAGATTCTGAGGTACATGACCAATTTTCTTAAGATTCAAAGTCTATACCTATATAGCTCAAGCTATTTTTTCTGCTGGCATAATATTTTGTTCTGCTGGAATAAAGAATTTAGTGGTGATCCTGATATTGACTCTGTTAGAATAGAGTGAGAGCAGGACAACAAAGATGAGACAGGAACTTAAGGGTATATCTTGTAAGGACAATCTGAAGGAACATGATGTTTAGTTTGAAGAAAAGAAGACTGGGCATGAGATCAGGCATGTAAAAAGATATCATAGAGCCATGATGTCGAACCTATGGTACATGTGCCCAAAGTGGCACCAGAGCCATGTCACCTGGCACATGTGGCGTCGCCCATTCATCTCCCGGGTTTCTGGCATGCATGCATGCAAGATGATCAGCTGGCCTTTTTGCATGTGTCAGTGCCGTAAACTAGAAGAGCTGGTCTTCCATTTTCCTGCATGAGCATGCACGCCGGCCAGCTGATCGTTATGTGCGAATGCGCACCAGAAGCCCATAAGTTAAGAGGAAAATACTGTTAATCAGCCAAAACAAAAAATGCTGTTAATCAGCCAAATAAAAGGGGGAGTTAAGGAGGATAATATGCTGAAAACTCAGCCAAAATATGCTATGCTGGAAATCAGCCAAATAAAGGGGGAGTTAAGGAGGATAATATGGCTGAAAACTCAGCCAAAATATGCTATGCTGGAAATCAGCCAAATAATAGGTGGAGTAATGGAGGAGAATGAGGAGAATATATTGAAGAATAATTATTAATAAGGGGTGAAAAAGAAAATGTTGGGTGATAATTAAAATGAAATGGTAAAATTTTGAGATTTCTGTGTAAAAATTTAAGAACATGATAGAATAGATTGGGTTTAGAAACCGAGAAAAATAGAAAGAAATTTTGATTAAAATTGAAATAAGAATTGAGTTGTATACACTTGGAGTATACAATTAAGATTTGTGGTGATAAAATTGTAAGGTAAATATATAGATTAATAGAATTGATTGTCTTTGTGTTCAATGTTGATGCTAAAAAGAGCAAGGGATAAAAAATTTAGATAAAGCGATATTAAATTTTATTTATAATTGAATTTATAATTGAATATAAAAAGGAGTTTTGCCTTAGTAGATTAGGATGTATGATGAGATAATAGAAAAATTTATTAAGATGTTGGAATTCATGTTAATTGTTTTTCATTTATTAAATTAGTGTCCCCTTTTGTGACCGGACCAAGACTTCATTCTTGAAAAAATTTCATTTTTTATGTTTATGTTGGAAAAAAAAATAAAAAAATCTTTACAAAAAAAAAAAGAGTAGCTGGCTGAAACAGGAAGTAGAATAGCTGAAACCGGGAGTTCATTTTTGGGCACGTGCATGCACCCTGGGCAGCTCCTCTTCCATCTTGTGGCCTAGGTGCGCGTGCACTCCCTTTTTGGCACTCGGTGCCAAAAAGGTTCGCCATTACTGTCATAGAGAAAATGATCAGGAAATAAGAAGAGAAATAATTAATATTCTTGAAGATGCTTACATCTTGTTCAGATATAAGTTTGGAGCACTCTACCTGTTGAAGTTATGGGTTTTCCCTCATTGGGTGTTTTAAATAAGAATCTGGATGCTTAACTGGTTTTCTTATGCACTTAGATGCATCTATGGGCTAGATGATCCCCATAGTATCTTCCAATTCCACAATTCTTATGATTCAATGATCCACTACAGGTATAATTTGAGGCTAAGATTGCACTGCATTTTACTTTACGTAGTGTATGGCAAATACATAGACTTATAGTAGTTCAAATGCTAATGTCCAGTCTATCCAGCCATTCAAGGACAGGGTTGCATTGCAATAATCACATTAATAGCTAGTCTATAAATATTAGATTTCAAAGTCTAAGAAAGGTCTTTCACACACACACACACACACACACACACACACACACACACACACACAGAGTGAGCATTAAATAATGTTCCTCTCAGTAAACTTGCAAATATAACAAAAGACAGCTGATGTGGCTGTCTAGCATTTTTACTCCTCTGGGGAAAAATTTCTGGTAATTGACTTTCTTCTAATTAGCTCTAATAGCACCTCAGCACCTCCCTCTCTTTTGCAGAAAGAGAGCAGACCTCTTGCACATCATAGTGTTGACTGCTAAATCCAAGTGACAGGCAGAGAGACATGATCCATAATGAATTGGATGTTTCTTCTACCTGCAACAAAGAATGATGAACACACTATTGTTATAACACAAAAGGAGATAACAAATGGAAATGAGTGAGCTGTAAGAGAAGAGGAAAAAATAAAACATCTGTTGACTTCCATTTCACCCTCTATCTGGCAATTTTTTAATAAGTTTAATAAGTTTCTATTATGTTACATAAATATTGCATTTCCCATTAAAAAGCTCACAGCTTCAGTGACAAGGAGCTTCCAATGATTTCCCATTTAACATACTAACTAGGTTAGGAACAGTACAGTTTTGCATAATGTGATGTCAGAAGTTAACTTGAAATCTAATGTCAGTAGCATAGGAGGAATGGATGGACCCTGAGCCCAAGATAGATCATATCTCATCAAGAGAAACATAGCTGCGGGTCTCTTGATATAAGCCACGCTCTCAAACCCGCCATGTCATGTTGCCATCATGTGACGTTTCACAACATTTTTCCCCTTCACAGAGCTGGGGTGGGCATGGCCTGCATATGACGCATCCAGCCCGCAGGCCATCAGTTTGACACCCCTAATATAAACAATATAGACGGGATATGGGATCAATACGTAGCCAGGCATGGCATAAAAGGGCTATCTATGTAGATATGTTTGATTCATTTGCCAGGTCATAGTTTATACAGTCTATCTATCTCATATAACTAAAAAATGTATACTGTTAATTATTAATTAGATCAGTTCAAATTGCCTACCACTTGTATTCTGGTTTATAATTGGTTTGTATTTGGTTTATATTTTCAAAAAAAAAAGGCTACAGTCTCATTAAAGACAATGAGATTCTACCCATGCAAATGAACTAGTTGAAGTTCACTACCTTATTGGAACAAAACCATTGTTATGAAGATGTTTGTCTCTAAGCACATTTCTTAAACAGGATTTCTAGATATTTAGTGTCAATATGAGAAGCTTTTATAGTGCTTTCATTCCAGCATTCCAAATTTTGAGTTAATAATCTGATATTCATGAGCCTTTTCTATAGCTTGAAAATTGCATCTGAACAGGTTATAAAGTAATCTAGCTTGTTTTACCAATGGTACATTCAACTATCCTACAGCAACATAATGCCATCCTTTGTTGTAACCTTGGCAACAAAAAAGAAAACTTACATGGATTCTTATGTTATTTCTTTATATACATCAGTTCCAATCCTTAAAATGTCATAAAATACAACAAATCATATTAATTATGATCTCCAGAACGGATCTTTTTTAAATGCCCATAAACACAACCTTATTCTGTTATCACCAACAACAGTATTCACACCTCCATATCTCTAATTTAACAACAATAGCACTTCACTTTCTTAAAATAGTCTTTTTGATCACACAGACTCTAAAAATACATACTTTTCACAGAAAACAATTATATTCTAGAGAAATAATATCCCCAAATCCTTATGATTTGCATTATTTTATCTGTTATATTTTCCTGTATGTTGGAACTATTGAGTCTGTCCTCTGCACCTCTATAATTGTCTGGTTCGGATAATTAGAACTGCAGAAAAAACAATTACTACCAACCTGCCTTCCATTGAGGACCTGTATACTGCACTAGTCAAAAAAAGGGCTGTGAAAATATTTACAGACCCCTCGCATCCTGGACATAAATTGTTTCAACTCCTACCCTCAAAACGACGCTATAGTGCACTGCACACCAGAACAACTAGACACAAGAACAGTTTTTTCCCGAACGCCATCACTCTGCTAAACAAATAATTCCCTCAACACTCTCAAACTATTCACATTTGGCTGCATTACTATTGCTATTGGTCTTCTCATCATTCCTGTCGCCCATCTCCTCCCACTTGTGACTGCATGACTGTAACTTTGTTGCTTGTATCCTTGCGATTTATATTTATATTGATTGTTTTCTAGTATGATTTGATTGCTTATTGTACCGTATGACTGTCACTGACAGTCTTTTTATGTACACTGAGAGCATATGCACCAAAAACAAATTCCTTGTGTGCCCAATCACACTATAAAGACTATTCTATTCTATTCTATTCTATTCTATTCTATTCTATTCTATTCTTTTCTTTTCTT